ATAGCTACACTACTTAGACTATTTTACTCTATGTTTATACAAACATTATTAGTTTGTAAGCATTCTAAGGCTAATCAAGTCATTCATATAGTCCTCATAGTTCACACGGATGGAAAACATTTAAAAAAAAAAGACCACAGCAGTCTCTTTATTGCAGCTATAAAGGCAACAAAAAATTCAATGCACAGTACTAATAACTCCATGAAGTTTAAACTCGATCTTTTCTTTACGTGTCAAGAGATAAAGAAGAAAAAGTCCTACAATTTCCAAGCTGTAAAATATTATCTGTGATCATTAAACACATACCAAAATCTAATATTGTTAACTGTTTCAACTCTATAGAGTTTATGAAATTTTCTCAAGTGTTTCCCAAATTATTCTGAAGGTAATTTATTTCTCAAGCCCAGCAGGGTAGGGCATTAGGAGACACTGAAAGGAAAGGTGAATTGGTTCAAAATCAAGTTTTGCTTTCTACAAAAATGCCAGACTACACAGACTTTTTTTTCTTAAATGGATACAATTACTTACACTACTGATATACAGTGTGTTACAAGTTGTCAAAGAGAACTACAATATTATCTATCAAAGCTTTTGGGTTTTACTTTAAGACCATTGGAATTTTATTTTTTATATGAATGACATGTTTCTGAACTGAAGATTGTTACACATTTAATAACCTTGCACTTGCAGAAATAGATACTCAAGAAAAATGAGATCTCAACAATCCTGGTAGAATCCATATCATATAGCTGGGAAAGTGCACTGAAAGTGAGCACTAAGGTATAGCCAAAAATAAGTGCTCAAATTAGTGAGACAAACTGTCCTCTGCATGTTTTGTTCATACCAGTTTCATGACCGACAATTAGAACCGTCATCAAAAGCACTGTTTTTCCTATCATGTTTTTAGCTCACTTGAGCTCCCCAGTCTTACTCTATGACTAACTATGAACACTTCTGTTTGCAAACACATCAAGGTCTTTTTAAGTACACATGCAACTTTACTTGCACAGTTTCTCTTACAAATTTCAAAAGTTTGTCTCCAGACAAAGAAAACGCAGAAACAAAAAACAAAACAAAAACCCACTGCATACCAAGAAAGCTCTTCAGATCCAAGAAGAAACAATGGAGAAACAGAGCTAATAAGCTGCTCAACCAGACATCCCTCATCAGTGGAGTAACCTTCCATTACCACACTGAAAACTACTGATGGTAAATTAAATCAAAGCAGTTGCAGAAGACCTAAGCATGTGACATTCATAATAATACTCAATCAGCTCTCAGTTTAAATTTCTCTAATTTTTAAAAGAAAACTTACACATTAAGAACGGTTATGCTTGTATTTACAAATACATGTATCATGATGTATTTTAAGACTTGCAAGGTTTTTTTTTTTGTTTGTTTGTTTGTTTGTTTTTTTGTTTTTGGTTTTTTTGCTTTGTTTGCTTTCTAGATACCAGAAGTGCAAGTATTTTAAGGGTAACCTTTTTATCAAGGAATATCTCAGATTAAAAGAAACAGATGTTTACCTCCTGTTTCCTCCAGACTTAAGCAGGGCATGAAAGAAACTGAATCTCTGAAAGTATTTCCCATAAACTTTGCTTTGAACTACAGTATTGTGTTAGCAAATGCATCCTATTCCATTGTATGAGCTTCAGTGAAAGCCAGCAGCAGCCACCTCTATCAGCCTGCTCCAAAAGAGGTCTTCATGAACTGTTAAAATCATACCAACACTCTATCATTCATTTTTGCAATTAGCCACCTGACTGAAGACATTTCCTCCCCAGTGTTATATTTCTCACAGATGACTTAATTAAAACAAGAAGCCTTTTAAACTCTTAGGTGGCTAAGAGGACAGAGCATCATCTTTCCTGATGCAGTGTGTACAGCTTCTGAATGAAAATTGTTTTTCATTGCTTCTCCAGCCTTCTTTAGTAACTGGTTCCAGTACACATGCTCTATCGTAACAGAGATAAGTATGACATAGATCACTCTATTCTTATCTGATAATACTTAATGATATTATCCAACAGTTGCCTGAGCTTTCCTGACAACAGTGCTGTGCCATAAGCATAAATTATCCATAGTATACCATATGTCCCTTTCAGAGTCACTGAACAGAAGGGATAAAGGTTCCCAACAAAGATTTGCACGCTTCATTCCTAAAATAATAGCTTTACTTTTGGAACTGCCAAAGACGACATTTACTTGCAAAAAGAAATAACTACACCATTACACCTAAACTTCAGTCAAGAATGCAGATGAGATTTAAATATTCCCTTCCTATGTACATTGTAGTATATTATCCAGGTATTAGAGGTAGATCACTGTTCCTATAGGGAGACCTGGAGAAACAAAGGAAAGAGCACCAACTGAAAGCATTTTAAAGAAAGTTTTGTCATAATTACATTAAGATATTACATTTAGCATACAAGTATACTGTGATTCAAAATTAGCAAGGTAATAAGTAACAAAACATATTTTGCCCAAGAAGTTCATTTTCCCTTGGCAGTAAAGCCAGCGTTATAAGATAAGCCACAGAACGTGTAGAAATTTATTGGTCCACTGGAAGATCACTCATGAGAAACAGAGTTGAGAAAAAAAATGCTTGTATTTTACTAGAAAAAAAAAAAAAAAAAAGAACAGCAGCAAATCACTAGTCTCTCCAGGTCTACAGGCATGCTAGCAGCACGCCGCATCTTGTTTTTCAAGCGTATCCTGGCATTTTGCAACTTCTTTCAGTGAATGGAAAATGAATAACACGTACAATCTGAACAGAAATGATACTGTATAAATGCTTGCTATTTTTTCAGCCTTAAGAAAGTATTAACAGAAGCTTGACAATTAATGCATTGATAGGGTAATCAATATTTTCCCCCCTATAGAGTCCTGCTTTATGACATTACAGGATTGACTCTTCAGGCAGAGCACGAGCAAAAAATAGAAGTGAGGTTCAACTCAGTCATTGCATGAGGCTAAAAGCTGTAGAGTTAACTAACGAGTTAACCATGAAATAAGAGAACAAAAGCTTTAACTAAATACAATCATTAGAACAAGGCTGCATTGTAATATCAAGGCAACTAAAAGAAGAAAAAAAGATGTTGGGCTCCATTCTACATGGTACCAGCTGGCATTACTTCAGTTCATTTTAAAAAAGATCATTTGTCTCTTCTTAAAGTTTAAGACGTTGTACATTGAATATCCATACAGGCACACAATATTTTTATTGTTCAGTTAAAAACTATCTGCAACTGTGAAGATGGAAAAAAAGTCTTGCTTCTCTATCAGAAAGCTTGTTTACATATATAGAACATTATACTAATGCTCTACGTAAGTTACAAAGCTATTAACTTGAAAGTCTAACAAGTTAATCACCCAATTTTGGAAGCTGATTCAGTACAAAAAACAGGTTTTGTAAGACAAACACTAAAATGCAACTACTCAGCTGGCAGAAGTAAGATGCTAAAGAACATTTGTTGATAAAAATCACTAAACATTATGGCTGTTTTGGACTTTACAGTCACATTCTTAATGCACCAGTAATACTTCAAAGATACGTAGTCACATTCTCTATTAGCTTGGAAAAGATGGATCACAACAAAAATTACACTAAACTTGCAAAAAGGGTGAGAGCACTAACTGTTTTTTTGCATAGAAAATAGAGAAAAAACATCGTGACAGTTGTAAGAAAGAGTCATATTTAAGTTTCTAATCCAAAGACAACACAGCTTCTCCCTTATCACAAGTTACCTCAACCTAACTAAGCAAAATATTCCTCCTAGCAGTATCACCTTCTGCACTTCTATGTATAAAGGACCACATACACAAGCTCATGTTTAGATATTGCACTGTCAGGCAGTATCTAAAATGTTACTTCAGGCGAATATCAGGTAGAGTAACAAACAGAATAAACACTCTGTCTTTTTATATGAGGAAAGAACTGACTTGTAATAATAAGAAATCTCAAGCAAAGCACTCGGTCACGATTGTTAGTCAGACACTTGACATACAAAAAAGGTAAGAGACAAAACATTAGATTCACATTCATGCATTAGTCAAAAACATACTATCACAGTACCCAAGTGACAGGTCAGAATAGTTTCACTCAGCAGCTCCAGATTCAAATTCATAACACCTGATTAGTTACAGCACCTCTTTGAGAAAGACATCTGCTACTCGCTCAGGAGACACGGGGCTTCCCAGTGAACCTCACTATCTTTCAAGAAGCGGTTTTCAGTAATTTCAGCAGCTTTTAATTCAGCAATAACTCACTGATGCTCAGGAAACTATTTTGACTGCATATTCTCTTGAAAAAGACCTAGAAATTTCTGTGAATAGAAATCTGAAGGCCTCTCTCTCTCCCGGCAGAGAGAAACTAGCACTAGGTGCCCTGACAGGCATAACCACTGAAAACAAATACAAGATCAAGTCCTTGAACTCCACCAGATTTTGGAACACCATCTGCCACTTAATCAGTTGCCACTCCTCCCTTGCCATCCAAGCAGACACATGCACTAACAAGTTTGCATAATTTCATCTTCAAGTGTAGTCTGCAGTGACAGAAACACAGGCAGCTGAGACCAACAGGGTAGCTACCATGAACCTTCCAGAAAAACCTGTTATTCTGCATGACTATTTATGTTAAAGCCACAACACATGAGTTTTAATCATTACTTACCTCAGCGTGGCTAAACAACAAAATCTACATCTAAGTTTCATTACCACATTTTTTCCCCTCCTGTTGTTAGTGTTAAACCTTCTTATGCTTCACTGGAAACAGAATGACAGAACAGACTGCATATTCTAAAAACTGGGTAAACAGAAAACATTAAGTAGACGAAACAAGACTTCACCTTCTATCAGTTGAAATCAGAATCTGTGATGGTTCATAGAATTTGTTGCAAAACTATTCTTCCAAGAAAAGAAATAATATACTAATATAATGTGTAAATCAAATTAAAGTTCCACTTCAGAGTATGTAAAAATACTTTCAGAGAACTCACCAGGACCAGAAGCCGACAAACTTTGATGTCTGTTTTTTCCAGGAGTACCTATGATATTCAGAATAGAAAGCAGAATTATGCTTCAAGTCAGTAAAAGGAGAGAGTTGCACTTTTGAATCTCTTTCTATATAACTTCCTCACGATCTAGGTAGTTTTAGTGTCATCCTTGTGATGACTGATTGCATGTTTGACAGAAAGACTTGACATGATAAAAAGTTAAATTATTTGGAAAATGAATTCCTATCATGTCAAACATTTTTTCTACTTTGATTATCACACTTCACTTAAGCCAGGTAGCACTGTTTGTTTATTCTATTATCTTAAACGAAAGAACAAAATGAACAGATAATGGAATAAAAAAAGGCAACAATAAGTAACTACCTGTACTAATCATATCTTATCAAATAAAGCATCAATTTTTTTCCAGCTATATACTCCAGTTAGTTTATTTACATACAGCAGGTACAAAATGTGCTACCTAATCAAGTTAAATATAAACAAAAACAGTGAGAAGGTTAATCTACCATTACTGCATTGTTTTAGTGTTAGGTGAAAAATGAACTAAGAACCTCATTATTTTGAAAGATATCAATTTAAGGAAAACACTTTTTGCTAGATTTAAGCATAAAAGTTACAAGCAGAAGTTTACAGAAGGTCTTTTTAGAATACCTATCACATTCAGCTTTCTTCTTCCCCATAGTAGGCATGTCAATATGATTTGTATCACAACTGTACTTATTTCCCTCAACCTGAATCCTGTGAGAGCATCTTTGCACCCAAAGTGAAATTTTTTTATTACTTAATTTGTCAAATGAGTCAGATATATTCTTTGATCCAATTTGACTTAAGAAATAAGTAATTACAATTAAATACTGAAGATAAAGCAAATATCTGATACCAAAATGCAAAGTTAAGTACATACTACTCTAAATTGTCAAAGCTGGTCAGCAAGATCTCACAAGAATACTGCTGAAATTAAACAGAGAAACTTGGGAATGTCAGTTTGAGTCTTATCTTGTAAGTATATGATCTTATAAGCAGGCTACAGAACATAATTCAACTTGATGTTACCAAGTGCTTCAAGTCCTTACAGGATACAAGTTTAAAGCAGGCAGTGTACTTGAAATACAGTCACTTTTACCTCCAGATAAACAAACACATACAGAATATCTTGTAGAGCCAATCTCCAATACCATGAACTACACATTGAAAGAAAGGACTGACAATCTCAATTGCCCAAGTTATAGAGCATAGCTTCTCTTTCTCAAGATGGATAGACACAAGAATGTAATTGAAAATATAACTTTACCCAATAACTGATTGCCTCTAGCCTCACTGACTTTCCTTGCTGAGTGCAATGGTGTTGATTTTGGTGTGCATTGGTTCAGGGAAGCACACCTGGCCTTGGCTCCTAGAAGAAGAAGAGACTTAAATCAGGTTTAAAAGTACAGTTACGTCAGCAAATAAAGACATGTCTAACATCACATATTTACTGTACCAGATGCATGAGTCTACTCAAATAAATATAAAAAGAGGCATTCTCTAGAAAATTTAAGGCTACATTTAAACTCAACTTTGTTTTTACCAGAACCTACTACTGAAGCAATAAAATATAATTTTAATAAAGCTTATTAGGAGAAGAAAAAGTAAGGAAAGATTTCGCCTCAACACTAAGATAGTATTACTTAAGTCACCTAAGCACTTAAGCAAACAAAACAGCTACAGGAAAGTTGGCTGAAAGGGACCTCCAGAAGCCAACTCATCAGCCTCCCATTAGAGCACAGACACCACCAAGATGAACTTAGTCAGCCATGACCGGCTGAGTCCTGAAAACTTCCAGGAATGGAGATCCTATGGCTCTACTGGACGATATGGTCCTGTACCACTTTTCCTCATAATTCTTCCCAAAACGTTGGGTCTCCCACTCCATAATTTGTGATTATTGCTACATTATCTGGTACTACTGAGTTTAGTGTAATCATCTTTGTTCAAGTAATTGCAGATTGTTACAATACCTCCACTCACTCTTCCTTTCACCTGACTAAGCAAGCCTCACTCCCTCAACCTCTCATCACAAGTTGTGCTCCAACACTATCTTCCCAAGTCTGTTGTTTCCAAATAACCTTCTTGAGATGGGCAGACCCCATAACAGAACAGCCCAAACGGAGCTTCACAAATACCAAGGAGAGAGAACACCAAATTCTGGCCTTAATGCTCCTGGAGGTGCTGAAGGCACACTTCCAGCCCCCAAATCACTGAAGTTATTGAACAATGAATAACTGCACTGTATATCCTTGGCCTGACAAAAAAAAAAAAAGCATCGACTTGTCAGGCAGTCACATAATTTTTGTTTGTTTCAGTGATTTACAGTTTCTGGCAATGTCTGCCTCTTATCACTGTTTACTATTTTAAAGCATGTCATTATAGCATGACATTTGGCGGGCTTAAAACTTAAGCCTAAAGCAGAAGCATTGTATTTAATTAAGTTTATCCAATTACAATAACCAGTTCACCACAAAGATGGTCAGAAGCAAGCTGATTATAACTAGGATTTACAGGACAAAGAGCACAAGCTTATTTATCTGCTCCCATTATGCCTTTAATTTTAGTCAGAGAATGAGTTGTCAGCTGCTGTTTGTGGCTTGAGTGGAATAGCACTGATGGCTTATAGAGAAGTTCTGGCTCAAACAGAAACAGGAACCAAAACACTAATGTAAAGTCAGAAAAAGCATTTTAACTAAATTTCCTTTATCACCAAAGGATGAAGCACAGTTATCTATCTCCATTAAAAACAAAGCAGATCTCTGCTTCCTCTTAGTCATCTAAGAGAATATCAAGAAAAAGAAGCATGGAGAGGTAAGCTGTTAGTGCAGTTCTTTCCTTTGAACGATAAGACAATGCCATTCATTCAAGAAGAGGCTTCATCTAGTAACATCTCATTCAAAGAGTTACATCAATTCTGTAAGGTCCTGGTAGGGGCAAATGTAATTTCAAGTCTGCATGAGGAAAAGCACAACCATATCCAGAGGATAAATTCAAAGTAGATCTATCCTACAGATCAGCAGCAGCTACAGAGTCTGTGCCTGAGCTTCGTGACAAAAAAGAAGGACACTAGAATAATGTAAAACTTGAATAATGATGCCCACAACATAATACATTTAGTCCCAGTACCATTCTCAGCCATATTGCTCTTGCAAGTCCACATCACAGCACAGACTGCCTCCTCATTTGCCTGAAATAACCAATCAATCACAACAATTCAAATAATGTTTTAGCTTTCTTATGAAATCTTACAAAACTTGAAGCACTGATGTGATTCTACTTTCTTGCAGTACGCTACTGCTAAATATACATTACTTCAGGTGGCAGCCATGTGCAAAAGGTAAGGCACTGCAACAGCAGTAGCTATAGTTTCACCATAGCTACAGATTCAGATACCTTTTGGAGTTGCTTTCAATGAGAGTAATCTAGGTCTTGGTACTGCTTTCAAAGAGACAGATCCAGAAGTTCCATTCTGGCAGGCTTTTGAAGGCCATTCTCCATTCTTGATGATGACTGTGGCATTTGTAGCTACAAGAGAGAATGATGGAGAATTTGGTCAATCATTTTGGTTTCTCCTAGCTTGGAGAAAATTAAATCCTAAAATAAACCCATTTCATTATTCAAGTTAGAAGAAATAGAAGTTGGAATAAAAATATTATGAACTTTTGTTATTTTCTGTACAGACTGATTAACTAACAGATTAGTCCCTGGATGTTGCAAACACACTGGACGTACAGCTTTGAACCTTGCACAGGAGGTGGGTATGTGCAAGAGAATACTGATAACAATGTCATACAAACATGTCATACAAAGACATTTCAGTTTGACTAAACCAAGAAAGATCAGTCTGAAGTCATCCTGGCCACTGAACTCACTGGTTTGTGCGTTTGTTTTTTAACAAAATAAAAAAAAAAGAGAACTACCTCAAGCAGCATCTTTCCCTTTTCCTTCTCATTTGAATAGAGAGATACATGCTGCCAAACAAGTTTTAAGCAAAGTTTCTGCAGTACGCATTCATAAAAGTTATTTCCTCAATGGCAAAAGTCTTTAGATGTTGACCATCCAACACATACTTCTCTCATCAGAGGAGAGCTGAAGCCATACAGGGAAAAAAACAAAACAAAACAGAAAAAAAGAGCAGATACTCAATTTAGGAAAAGGACATTTTCTGTCTCACGTAAAAAAATTAGATTTCCAACAAAGCAGTTGCTGCATAAGATATTTATCTCCATTTCAGTGGGTCTTCAGAGAGGTTTGGTTTAGTGCCACAACAGAAAGTTTTAGCTGTAGAAAGAAAATTGTAATGTGGGGAGAGACAATGTCTTGTCTTAGTTCTGCAGCAAAAAATATGAAAAGATTTCTGAAGTAAATACTGATTGAAAATACTTCAGCTCAAACAGCAAAAAGTTATGGTGATAGTCAGCATTCTGACACATTAAGAGTAAGAAGTTGACATCACACTTACCAGAGCATAAGCAAAAACTAAATCACTCTGGTATAGGTACCATGCTGTTCATTTTTTTTTTTTTTTTTCTTCAACTACTCATTAGGGGAAGCATTGGGAAGAGAGATTAATAAACGGTGACTCATAAAATATCAAGTTTGCCTCAGATTAGTGAGTGTTTTATGAGGCTGATTTTAAAGTAACAAGAAGTACACATCTAATACTATTTATCAAAATCGAATGCAGTCTTAAGATTATTTTCATGTCAATTTAAATACACTAGCATCATTCATCCAAAAGTTAACTCTTTCGGAAAATGCTTCTTGACCACAAATCAGTCCAATATTTAAACAGGAAGAACGAACAGAACTCCTTTTTCTTTCGTTTTTGGTACATGTGACAAAAGTTTTCTATTTTTTTTGTTTGTTTTTAAAATAAAGGAGATAGATTTCCTCTTAAAGTACAAAAACTAAACATCTGCAACAGAAATTTACACATGAGAAACAATTTACATAATACATCAACTCTGCAGTTGATAGAATCTGACCCTGTCCAACAGCAGATGATTTAAGTTAACTTGTTCTAATGAAGTATGAACTCTGAAGCAGTCCATTTTTTTCTGGGAGCTACTAAATTAAGAACTTCAGCTCAAAGTTCACTGCAGCCAGCTACTGCCTGCCCATAAACTGCTGTGCTACTTTCCAATAATTCACAAGCACACCATGGAAGGAACACTTTGGGGATAAGAGCACTCCTGGTGCAGGATCAGTAAGGCACTGTTCACTACATTAGAAGCTGTGGAGTCAGACAACTGGACTTGCCTTTTTCTATGAGTAGATGCTGCAGTCTTGATGAGATAACAAGTTTTAAAACAGTCTCATCAATTGTAAGAGCTAAACATTTCAACACAACTCGATAAGTTCTCCTTTTTCAGTCAAGTATTGACCATACAGAAATGTATCTCAAGGTAAATTGCTAGAACTTTTAACCTCTAAAACACAACTTCTTTATACGCAATTATTTTAATGCAAGTTAAGTTTCTTCTCTTAACCTGAGAGTTTAAATATTTCAGTATGTTCAATCTTAGTATTTTCAGCTCAAGACTGAAATTGTGGAAGTTTTATTCATGTTTTTGATGCTCAAACTGACATGCATGCAAAGTATGTTTTTAATATCAATAGCATTTCATATTTCATAATCTCCACATTTCTCAGATAGCAAGAGTCTCTCTAGAGAAAAGAATTATAAAAATCAAATGATCATTAGACAGAAGAGTAATGCTGCTGAAATGATCAGTCCAACAATATCTCATAACAAAGGGCTGAGCTGACACAGCAGGAGGGACACTTTGTTTTGTAAGTTTTTTTCCCCACAAGATGAAATCCTTAAACAAAAAAAGCAAAATGACTTCGTAAATTTAATGCAATTGAGAAGATGACAGTAGTTCATTATAGATTTCCTGACATTCACAGCACAAGACTATATTCCTGATTTTGTCAGGACACACAAATCTAATAAAAGCTCTTAAAATAAAGACTTTTTCCTGACATTACTGCATAGAGGACTAACTGAAAGACAAGGAGAAAAAAGGAATAGCACTGAACATTCATTATACATGAAAACAGATAATCAGACTAAAATAATTCTTAAGAAGTTTAGCAATTTTAACCAATGAAAATCACCTCACTGAAAAATCAGCAAATCAAAACATTTCATACATTCACCACAATCAAGTTACGAGCTTTAAAGAAGAAATAAAAAGAAATACAACCTACTTCTTTTCCCAGTAAACGAGGTTAACAAAGGAATAATACAAAAGCTGTAAGATCCCACTATCAGCAGTGTCAATAAGGTAATATCACAGTGGCTTCCTGAATCAGTTGGTGGTGTTAGTGTAGAATTGATGAAAATATCAGGAGAAAAATTAGTTTCTGTGCAACTGCGGAGTCCTCCTGGTATAGTCATTTAAAAAGGATCAGAACAAGCTTGAAGTCAAAGCCAGACTGCAGCCATGTTCAACCTCTCATTTTCCTCTTGCTTGCTCTTTGTGAATCGGAGTGGAAAAAACTGTAAGCTTTGAGCCAGTGGACAAAACAGATTAAAGCAGCTAGCAAATCATTCTAAATAAGGAGTCCTCATTTGGATACTTAATCTGCATACATTTCTTTGTTATGAAGCAATGACCCTCTCCTTTGTTACATGTGGAGTAAAAGGAAGAGAGGACAAAGCTGCTTGGGAATTCCAGATACAGTTCTAAAACTGAACAGCAAAAGTCAACATGGCTGTCAGGGCAACAGAACCAGCCTGATTACAGAGAAACACGCAGTGCATATTTTATTACGCATACTCTTATTCCTTTGAGGAATATGCTAGTTTTTCATTTTTAATGAAGTCACTACAGGAAATAAAAAAGAACAAGAGAAAATGTAGCTATTATATATGCATGCATGTGCATATAAAAAGTGAAGTTGTATGTTAAAACATAGTTGTTTGTTGTTGGTTTTTTTGTTTTGCCTTTCTTTTTTTTTCTTCCAGTCCATCGAAGGCAGATTTCAAAAGAAGGCTGGCACAAAGCAAATGCCTTTGCCTAGTCTCGCTGATGAAATAAACAATGCAATTGTAGCAGCACATTTGAATGTACTCATCTGAATATGCACAGCTGGAGACACTGATATATCTGACAGAGTTAGCTGAGTGTTAATTTCTTCACATTTTTACCCCTATAACTACCACGACAACTGGTTCAAATGCTGGGTAGAGCTTCTAATTTAAGTTAATTCTGACATTTTTCTCCTCAATTTTGACCAGGATGGACTTGCTTCAGGTCATGCAGCAGTGCTTACAGTTATAACAGAAATGATAAATTACATTCAATGTTGCACCTGCTAAAAGCACTTTTGCCTATCTGCTCATGATCTCATCTTCACATTTTGCCCCTGAACACTAAAAGCTGACATGATCTAGTTCAACACAAGCTTTTAGTATAAGAAAAACAAACATGCTATTTCAAATATTGTGGCAAGAAATTCAGAGTTCATACTAATTTCTTATTAAACTTATCAATTTCTACTCAAGAACACCCATTGCTTTCATCATGTTTCTTGACAAAAGAGGAGCCATACTGAAATTTCTGTTCAACAAATCAAAATCCAAAGCTCGAAGTTCCTTCACATGGTATGTTTGCAGAAGGAAAGTCTTTAGCTAAAAGGCAAAGAGTAAGATCTAAAACTAGTAAGAAGTAAGATGAGAATTCATGCAGGATTCCTTTAAAGGGGACTTTTCTAAACAGATGTTGCCAGATATGAGTTTAAATTACTTACAATTACTACTGAAAAGACTCCTCTCACTCTGAGTGCTGCTGAGTGATGAGATACTAGGTGTTCTCTCCAGCACTGATCTTTTGACAGGCACTTTGGATTTGGAGAGTAGTTTACCAGAACTAGCCCGGGAAGCTGAAGAATTTTTCACAGAAGCATACTTGTCTCTCGGCAAAGATCCTAGACCTGTCAAATCACAGAGGGAAGGATAAAGGGAGGTGAGAAGTAAAAAGAACAAAGGTAGAAGAAAAATTAAACAATTACTTCTTCTACACGTATGCCTACAAACAGAAATATTTACACATATTAGAAATATATATATATAAAGGCAATTATCTCATACTTACATGGTAAATAAAATAAACATACTTAGTTTTTAAGCTCCTCCCTTGCCACAAATGCTGTAAATACAGCAAAACAGTTCTGAGTACCTAAAAACCCTCATTTTACCTTCATACTGACCTGAGACTTACATCAAGAACTGGTCTTAATAAGACTGGCTTTCAAGGCAGACATTTGCATGCACATAAAAACTTACTACTTGCATTCCACCTCCGTGTATTATGGTTAGCTGTGCTGGCAATCCCATGAAAATACTACCCTTGCCTCAAGATGACTTAAAACAGATTCTTTTGTTTCTTCCCAGCCCCAAACACATACTGTTTTTGGCTTTTTTTTTTCCCATTTCACAGAATACTATGTAAGATAGTCTGCTTTCGAGGACAAACAACACAAAAGTATTAAATTGTGCTCATGCCTTAAAACTGACTGGTTCTACAAAACTAGTTAAACAGTACATCTTGGAACCAAGTTCAATGGTCAGCTAGTGCAAACACATTTTTGTATTAACTACTACCCTAATTTGAGCTCACTGAATATAAATGCCCAATAGCTAGGTTAATGAAGCTATTTAGAAATGGGAAGTGTGCCATCTTCAGACAGCAGCTTCCTCTCATACTGCTAAAAATGTGGTTGCTTTGTTAATAAGAACATTTCAGAGTAGTTAATTAACTTTGTTTATTCTTCAAAAGTGTGCATCTAGACCAAAAATACAACAGTCTAGGAAAAGTTATGTATACACAGACTTGTCTTGCACATACTGAGCTGACTAATATCAGCTCTGAAGTAAAATTTAGATGTCAAGATCTTTCTTTATATAGATCTCCAAATAATGATGGAAAAGATCTCATTATTTTTGTAGAGAAATCAAAACAAATAGAAAGAAGGAAGATATATATGGGTATTTTCAAGTATACAAATTATCTTAATTCCTGACTTCATTGCCTTTTTAAAGTCTCATAGTCCAAGTTTATCTTGCTCAGAAATAGATGAATTTTACTTTGATTAGTTTTTATATTTGAATATAATAACCCTTCCTTTTATTCTTGCCAACAGTTATTTTTCTGTCATGCTGAAGCTATGCAAGAGAGAGTTGAAATATAAGAAAAACAGCTAATAATTCCACCTTATTCAACATCAGTTTTGCAGCAGAATCCCCCTTCCTGAATACCAATGATCAAGTAACCAACAATCTGAACCAAGTCCAAGAAAGCATGACATTAAGGAATTACATGAAGATTTAGGCAACAGAAACATGTTTGCATTTCAACAGTAGGTGGTGCAAGAGGTTTAAATAACATGCCTCAAATCCTCTATCAAGTACACAAAAATCTGAAGAGTGTGAGTAAAGGAAGATAGATCCACGCTACTTCCTGCAGTTTCAATCAGTTCAGTAATAATAGAGAAACCCTGCCTACAATATATACTAAAGATGCATTCAGATATGATTTGATTCCAGTCACTAAATATGACACATGAGCTTTCCTTGGTCATTAAACATGCTTAAATGTCAGACCTCCTTTAAGATCTGCACTTTTACTGCACTGCTATGCAGCATTGTGATGCTACATATGGTTTTAATCTAGCCTGGTATTAAATCAGAGACAAAATTATCAGCCGTATTCTGGAATTCCTTTTATTTTATTGCAATGGACATCTGGATATATTCAGTTCAAAGAGCATCCAGCCTATTTTGTGCTATGAGAACACTGTGAACCATAAGCTGAGCCCCATTCACAGAAGTCACTTCAAACAGGTGCTCAAGGCAAAAACCTTTAAACTCACTTGTCTGATAAAACAGATAAATGAATAATTGGCACTGATTCTGGATTTCAAAGAACAAATTTATTCTAAACTAACTTTCTAAAACTTTACACGTAAACAAGCTTATTTCATTAATGGATCAACATACCAGAAAACTAATTAATCCATGCCAGTCAAAAATTCCTTTTCTAAATGGCTTCTCAGCAAAACAAGGTAAAAATTAAACTACACAACCAATCCTTCCTAATCACTACATATTCTAAAACAAAACAAAAGGCTGCTGTACAAACACCGCAGGTTAAGTTCGTATGACTTCATATGTTAAAGTTTACATTTCAAAAGGCAGATTTTGGAACAAATATTGCTGTTGTTTGCTATTGTGCCAGGTTCCAAGTTCATCCACTTCAAAAGACACAGGAAAGAAATCCTGTTTTCTTCGGTCATTTTCACTCAAGAAGGATGGAGGCAAGCATGTGAAAATACACAAATGTAATTTCCAGCCAGCTTGGTTTCTTCACTGAAACTGGAATGAAGCAGTTCAGTAAATCAGCAGTGAAAAAAAAAAGCTCTTTCAGTGGGCTACAGGACATCAAGTTTCAGAGCAGAGTAAAACAGATAATCTTTGTTTTTTACTTAGTTCTGCTGCTTGGTGCTTTCCCTCTAAGGCTTCCATTAAAATAATTACAATGTACAAATAACATTTCGAGAGCCTTCCTTGAAGAATTTTAGTCATGACAAGATTATTAAGATCATTAACTCTTGGTGTTATTTCAAGAAATAACAATGATTCTACAAAGTACTTTTAAAAGTACCATTCCCTAACCAAAATTAAAAGAAAAGGTTTTGAAGATGGAGATGGGAATATATGGTATACAAACAAAAGTACTGAAAACGTGCAAACAAGCACGATATTTAGTGATCTATTATTATAACGACAACAAGCAATAGCATCAAAGTAGCTGGCTTTCATCAGTTATTTGATCTAGTCATTGAAGTAGAAATATCACATTCCTCCACAGTGAAGTAAAAAGCTGGCAGTTCTTCAGAAAAAAAAATCTATACACAACTGTGTTACAGCAAGGATGTTAAAGTATCTCTAGTATTCGTATGGAAATAAGCAAGGAACATGGATCATTTTTCAAGTAGTTCTGATTTCATGTCCTTCACTCAAATAAGCATCCCCTCACATGAATCCCACATAGGTGGGTTATTGTTCAGAGTAAGTCAAGGCTGGAGCCAAAAACAACTCCTATTAGGAAAATAATCATATGCCAGTAGTGGCTAACTTGAAACATCACTGACAACAGGCAGATTTGAAGGTTAAACATGTATTCATCAGTTTGGAGATTCAGAATCCAAAGTTTCAAACCCTATCAACACATTTCACATCTAGAACTGAGCATAGAGCAAGTGGAGCTATACAACACTTGGAAATTAAAGATCAGAAACCTTTCCTAAACAGAAACTTAGGGCAGACTTAAGTGCACACCAGGTCTTTGAAAAATCTTTCTTTTTGCTGTTGCTTTTGTTTTTTTCACTGTAACGATCGCTGGTCTGGGGCTTTCATCATCATGTTTCCTGAGCACATTAAACTTTAGACTTCTTATTCCTTTCTGACTTTCCTTCTACAAGCGTAAACTTCCAGAGTGCGCTAAGTGTTTTAACTTGTAAAAATAACTTTATGCACAACAAAAAAAGCCAAATCTGTACAGAACAAGTTTTTTTATAAAGCAAGGAGACTGAAATGTTCAAAAGAACACTTTGGTGTCTGCTGAAAGTAGTAAGTAAATCATGCAAAGACAAACTCAGCTTTGCTACTGTTTCCAGCACATTACTCTTTTCCAGAGATCTGAGTGCTGCTGGTTATTGCTTTGAATGCTGCACAGTAGCAAAAGTACTAATACATTTCTAATGGCTACAAGCTTCATCAGCTGTTCAGCAATGTAAGTTGTGACATTACACACAAGTCAGAGCTCCTTTGAGGAATAAGGAGTATTTGTAGTACCATCTCTGCCTTTAAAAGCCTCAAACTACTACCAAAACTGCCAAAGAAAGGTGTTATTTATTTTTCTAGTAATATTGTAGCTGCTAAACATAAACACAGGCTAAGATAGCAAACGTGAGATTACTGATGAGACTTCAGATATTTACATTAGAGAGATTTGCTTAGGGGACAACAACCGATCATAGAATAGTTTAGATAGAAAGCAAGATTTAATTCTGTCTCATATAGGTTCCCACAACATTACTCTATTCACCTGTTATCATTAGGAATGTGTTCCTCTTTGGCACAGATATCAATGAACCAGCACCACTTCTGTGCCCCAAACACAACAGGACTGCTAGCAATCATCTGGGTAGATATTCACATGTTCCTCCCTTTGCAGACCAATATACTCAGAGTAAAACTGGAAAAAAGATCATCAGTGCTATAATGCACTTTGTTATTGCTAACTGTTGACACAACCAACTCTTTTCATTCTCTCAACCATTTTGCAATTTCAGTACTGTTTGCCATCCAGCTATCTGCCTCAATTTTATGTTTTGCTTTTGTAGACTGAACTGGAAAAGACCCATGAATAACCACATCTTTACGGCTGCCTGGTTATGTCCTACAACCAAAAGCAAACCCAGTCTTCAAACAGCAGCCCATTTTATACCATCTTCCAGGTGCAACTGCTACGGTGGTAAGACTTGCCCATTCCAACTGTTATACATTGTTTGCGTCCTGTTTTAAATAAGAAGTCCCAACTAGTAGCTTTAACACAGCTATGAGAAAGTTTCATCTATTTAGTACTAGTGGGCACAGGGAAGAGTCACAGTAATATAATATGAAGAAAGCTGAGGCAAAAGAAAACCACCAACTACACCCAATTACATTTGTTACCATTTTCTGGCTCCCTGGATCACATGCCCCTTTCATGTTGCTCACTAAGAATTTGTTGATAGTTTACACCTTTTATATCCATGTTATCACTACATATTTTAAGTTTTCTTTATTATATAGGGATTATGTACTCCACACTTTGCAGGAAGAGAAACCTCACTGCAGCAAAATATACTTTTTTTTTTTTTGCTCAGTA